CATCCTTTGGAGTGTCCACCATATATATGTCATATGACGAGGTGGCCTTCCAGCGCCTTACAGGTGCTGGATCTTGTTTGTCTCCTGCATCGTCGTCCATACCGTCGATGTCTTCGGAGTCGAAGTCAAGCATGTCGGTTAAGTCGTCGACAGTGGCTACGAAGTGGGTGGTGGGTGGGTTTTGAATTTCTTCATCGTCCGTATCCCAACCTTGCTGACCGTATTCCGGCCAGGGCTCTCCTGATAAAGAGAGAGACTTTAGAGAACTCAGGATGTCGCCGAAGGGCGAGTGCTGAAAGATGTCCGCGGCGGTGAACTCCATTATCGGCGCCCAATCGGATTCGATCGGCAGGGGCGCGGGAGGCTCGGAGTTCGGAGAGGAATCCAGCTCCTCGGAGTCACGGGCCATGTGGAGCGCGGGGCTGGTGTTCGGCTCGATCGCCTTTGAGATCGCAGCCCCCGAGGTGGCGTCCAACCGCTCATCCTCGATTGGCGCAGTAGGCTCCGAATTAAGGGTCGGAACCGGTGCGTGTGCGGCCTCCAGGGCACCGTTCGGCGGCAGAGCTAGATCATGCCCATAGAGACAGTGCGGTGCGCTTGGCTGTGGCTCGAATCCGTCGAAGATCAAGTCCCCGCAAATGTCAGCCGTGTAGTTTAAACTTCCAAACCTGACCTGGTGGCCAGGGGCGTAGCTTTCGATCTGCTCCAGGTGGCCAAGCGAATTGGCCCGCAGGGCGAAGCCGCCGAAGACGAAGATCTGTCCGGGGAGAAAAGTCTCACCCTGGACCGCATCGTTGTTGATGATCGAAGGAGCCATCGGGCCTAAAAGCGACGACACAGAGGAACTCTCAATGAAAGCACCAATGTCGGTGTCAAAAACGGCGGATCTCGGGTAGGGGGTCCCGAACTGTGCGTCTAGGCCGGATGGTAACAGGAGACAAGGGACACGAAGTTTTACCCAGGTTCGGGCCCTCTTGATGGAGGTAAAACCCTACGTCCTGCTTGATTAATATTGATGATATGGGTAGTACAAGAGTAGATCTACCACGAGATCAAGGAGGCTAAACCCTAGAAGCTAGCCTATGGTATGATTGTTGTATGATGAAGTTGTCCTACGGACTAAAACCCTCCGGTTTATATAGACACCGGAGAGGGTTAGGGTTACACAAAGTCGGTTACAATGGTAGGAGATCTTGAATATCTGCATCGCCAAGCTTGCCTTCCACGCCAAGGAAAGTCCTATCCGGACACGGGACGAAGTCTTCAATCTTGTATCTTTATAGTCCAGGAGTCTGGCTGAAGGTATAGTTCGGCTATCCGAACACCCCCTAACCCAGGACTCCCTCACCAGCGGTTCCCTCGGCAACCATAGGCCCTCTGTCGGGGAAGGGTTGTCGAGGCCTCCCTGGCAGAGGGCCTACCTCCGGGTGTCGCCAGGCGTCGTGTGCCGCGGGGAGGGGCGTTGCTCCTGGCTCCCTCCCGGTGCCCCCCAGTGTGTCTCCCTTGTTGGAACAGGTGCCGCCGTGCCAGGGTCGTCGATCGACGCTGCAACCTGATTCATCTGCAACCCATGGTTAGCATAAGCCTGTTCCTAAGAGATTAGCGGTACCCTGTAGTTGCCGTTGCCGGCGCGATCGTTCTGGTTCTCCGTTGGTTCTTGGCAGGCTTCGGCTCCTAGCGCCCCCTCTCCCCAATCTTCTCCAATGAATGAGCCTAGGTCGTCCTCTGGTGCGTACCCTTGATCCATCATGCGGGGCACGTAGGCTTCCGGGGCCGTCACCCCGAACACCTCGCCATGGTGCCCCACGCTCCATGTTGCTTGGCCCAGGGTGGCGTCCTGAGGATGGTAGCGTGGCATCCGGCTGGGACCATGAAGGGCGATGCTTGAGCTCGTGCTTGTCGCGGGTGGCATGGGGGGTCGGAGCCCCCTACACCGCTGGCCGTGCTGATGTTGATGAAGCCCCCGGGCGTAGTCGACGGCACACGGATGTGGTGAGGTTCACCGCGCGGCCCTGCAGTAGCCTGGGGAGGAAGTCGATAGCAGAAGGGTGGTGCTCCCGACGCCGCTGCATCCAGCAGCTCGGCAACACGCTCCAGCAGCGTATCCCGGCCGCTCTCCATCAGCCTGCATCGCAGCAGCTCTCTTGCCACCGTAAGTGCCGCACGCATGTTTGCTTGCTCCCGCCGTCAGATACTTTCTCAGCAGAAAATAGGCTGCAAGTTGCTAAGCCTGGAGGCATCTGCAGGAGCAACATGCTCTCTGCAGAATTAGTCATGCTCCCAGTGCAGCAACTTTGCACACTGCTTGCTGACTTTGAAGTTTTAACCATTTTAACTGCAGGCACTAAACAATCAAGCAAGTCCCTGTTTTCAGGATCCTCCATTTAACTGTTTTCTTATGGAAACTGAGTGAAATAGTTTTTCAGCAAAAACAATTAGAGAGAACCCGCCTAAGCTGGTGGCCTTCTTTTGTGCGTACTCCCTCCGATCCATAATAATTGCCGTGGTTTTAGTTCAAATTTTACACATATAGTGCATGATCTACTATTATCTGATATAATCTTTACAGTTTACACCGAGTCAGTGATACAACACAACACTAGTATCTCTGGATGGATTATGGCTCTTTGTCTTGCCATCGGCTTGTGTTAGTTTGTTCACCAAAGTCTGTAGACATTAACTATCATTTTGTTCAGCACCGCATCTTAATGTTGTCACCGGTTCCCTTTTCGGTTATGGGTTACACGTTACTGTCTAATGGCAAATGACACTCCCTCCATCCCATAATATAAGATGCTTTTGCAAACTATGCTAACTTGCAAAAGGGTCTTATATTATGGGACGGAGGGAATACTAAAGATTCTGCTGAACTATCCATACAGGAAGAACCATCGTTAGATGTTTAATCTTTGAGTTATGAATTGGTTCGATCATTGTAAGTGTACATTCTTAGGTGGCTATGAATTGATTCTGTTTTGTCGAGTTATTAAGAGACAAGCCAATGTCTTTGTCTTCTGCACATTGCTACATTTGGCTGATCATCCATCAGCTAGTGATTTCTGCCAGGGCAACACACTGAGGTATGCTGCTGCTGTGTATGATGAGTACACAACCCTGATCCTCCCAAATCCCTCCCACAGCACTGTCCCGGAGTCCGCCGCAGCTGAAACCCCTCTTCCTCCACCAAAGCGCGCCTGCCACATCGAAGCGTAGCAGGCTTGTTTGTCTCGTGATCTCCCTTCCCGATCTCCTCTACTGCTGCTGGGCTGGCGTGGTCAGGACACGATGCTTTTTGTGCGGGTGAGGAACAGCCGAATCAAATTAGACAAATCTCCCTTATAAGGATGGATAGGACATTCGAGGTGCATCCGTCCATGTATTTTGATGCCTATTTTCCTCAACGAACGCTACTTTTGATTGAGATCCCTAATTAATACTCCCTCTGTAAACTAATATAAGAGCGTTTAGATCACTAAAGTAGTGATCTAAACGCTCTTATATTAGTTTACAGAGGGAGTACTAGTCATAGCTTTGTCCTGTATGTCCATCATGTTTCAAAGTGATTTGTTGTAGAAGTCTAGAACTATTTCTCTATGCATTAATCTTTTTGTACCTGTTTTGTGTCTTTTTGCAGGGCTTGCAACCCCAATCACAACAGATTGACAGTAGTCTGACAGTCATCAGCTGCAATGACCTGGGCAGTCACCTGAGATCCATTTGCAGTTTCCTTGGTGGCACCTGCAGCAGCTCCTACAGTAGTGCCACCTGCAGCTACACCCGGAGCTGTCACAGCTTCTGCACTGGCAACTAGTTCAGCTGGTGTGACCACAACAAGCGTGGTGGCTGTGGCCCCTTGTGCACGGGCGCCTACTTCTGCTGCTCAAGGTCAAGCAGTTGCACTGCAAACTCAAACGGCTGACCAGTACCAGCAGAAGCTCCTGTACCAACTGTACTACCAGCAGTATTACCCTGGCTACAAACTCCTACACAAAGCAGCATCAACGGTATGGACAATACCAACAGCACATACAACCTCAAACGCAAGCGGCACCGCCGCGCCGCAGAATGTTGCTCAGGTTCCTGCACAACCTGCTCCATATGCTCATCCTCAATTCCTGCAGTCCTGGCAGTCTCACCAACAGTTAGTTGGTCTTCAGCATCCTGCAGTTGCACACCCTTAAATTTCAGTTGTAAGGCCAACTGCCAGCCATGGTTGCTCCTTAAGGTACTCGGCATACATCAGCAACATGGGCATCATGTTCAGCGGCCACCAATTCCTTCCAGCATCCCTCCCCAGGCACCGGCCGCCACAAGGATTTCCTCCTAACACGTCTGTTCGTTCACAAACAGGTCAATCATACCAACAAGGAATGAACTCATCACACCAACAGATGCATTCTCAACCTTTCCAACCCCCATGGTCCACAATATATGCAGCAGCGTATTCCAACTTCGACTAGCAGGTCTATGAGCTATGTTGCAACACCGCATCACTTCCAGGAATCAAGAAAGCCAAAAAGTTCAGCTTCGGTGTGTCGGACGTATATAGATTATGTAGATGGTGTTGTCTTGAGGGAGATTAAAGCTCTAGCTTCTCTAAATTCTAGTAGTTCATTTTCCCCTATGACTTGACGGTCTATGGTTCGAATGTGGTGCCCGTATCTTCTTGCAAGATCTGGTTTCCAGCAATCTGGTTCCCAAGATCATGGATACATAAAAAGGACAAACCCAGTGCTAGAAGCTCTGCGTGGTGAAGGATTATGCTCGTACAAGGCGAGCCCAGTGCAATGCAGCGAAAGTTCAACAGGCTAACGCTGACAGATGTCAAAGATGTTATTGTTCAGTCTGCACGAAATGTTCTTTCGGCTATAACACGCTTTGTCACCAGTGCCGTGCTTAGTATAATACAATTTGAAATGACAAACGAGAACAAGGTGCAAGCATTGGACAAACATTGGCAATTTCCATTTGCCAAAATTCTACAAAAAAACTTGCCCTCCTCAGCTCGGGAAGTGAATCCTGGCACGTGACGACATCCCATTGTTGATTTTGTCTCTGATCAACAACATCTCCGTCCATGTCCACTGGCCTGGAAGCGTGTGCTTGCACTTATCACACCCTGGATTTCTATATAGGTTCATGGCCTCCAGGTTCACCGCTGCCTCCACGACATTTCTGGCATACCTCATGAATTTGTCTTCTGCCTGAAACCCATAGATCCTGACCTCAGCCAGATTGTGGTGCTTGAAATCAGGGGAGGATGGTCCCCACTCTAGTCCTTCGTCCTTCTTCTCGCTAAATGTAAACCTCTTCCTCACCTCCCCGGTTGTCATTTCACATAAATGATCCCTCACCTGCATTCAATCAGGTCAAGAATTCCAAACCGGTGTCTGAACTTCGAAAAGAGAGAGCTCGCTTTGCATATTCAACGTGAGGTGGAATAAAAATGAGAAATGAAAATCGGTACAAGATTTTACCATGATGCATAGTTCCTTAAGGGCGGGTGCACCTTGGAGTATGAACATCGTCCAAGTCAGATCACATTCTTCAGAAATGTTGATCAAATTCACAAGCCTTAGTTTGTGGAACACCGGTAGCAATTGCTTTCGACCTTCTGGTTTCACCCAAATCTGCAAAAGACGGGGATAATGCAGAAGTATGTTTACCAAAAATAATGACTACAACCTCTCCACAACACACGACACTCAGACAACATTGTAGACCTCCACTAACCTTTTCACATTTGAAGTTCAAATGGAGGAAGCTTATGGCCGTCTTACCCAGCAACTCGCTTAACTTGAGCATCTTGTGCCGCGAAAGACCAGTATGAATGATGGTCACAGTCTGAAGCAGTGGGACATAGCCCAGACAGAAGGGGTCTTCTGGAGACATAAAAGCATTAAATTTCAGTATTGTGAGCTTTGGTACACACTTCAGATCAACCCTCTTAATACTGCTACAAAAAATCAGTAATTCACGGAGCTGTTCGTGTTCCACTTCCAGCAAAGACATATTCCCCGCATCACACTGTTGGAGACGGAGGAACTCCAGTTGATTGCAAATACTGAAAATTTTGGGGAAGTCTGATTCACCCAACCTCAAATTCTCTAGCGTGAGGCGTGCAAGACCACCAAATGTGTTTGGACACGAACCAAAGAATGACATGAACTGCCTCCCATAAGTGAGCAGTTCATCAACAGAACAATTTCTGCGCACCTTCGTCATGATTGTAAACTCGGCTGAAGCGACCTTTTGTGTTGCTATGGTGTTGGCAACAGTCTGGCCAATGAAAACAGACTCATCTCCCAAGTAGAATTGCATGCACAACAGGTGAATGGTGGATAGACTCCCAGCCCTCCTTCCCAGTATGCACCTAGCAGCTTCCAGCACGGTGGTGTTGGCCCGAACTATATCATCTGAGGTTATCTTCCTCCTTTCGTGCTTGGGCTCAAAAGATCCAGCCACGATAACAACCTTTGAGAGTATCGCAGGGATCTGTTTCCAACGTGTCGAGAGGATGGTGGTTCGTGCAGCATCAGCGATATCAAGTCGCTCCACAATGTTGAGCAAAACGTCATCAGGCAACTTGCTGAGCCTATCAACTTCATTGTCCTCCTATATTTGAGATGCAAACAAATCAGAGTTGGTTTCGTACTAGTCACGTCACCGGCCCAATTTTAATATTTTCTACAAACAACGATATAATTTACAAAGTTCCCCACGAGAAGAGAAATTTTGATTATACAGAATTTTTGTACTTCCCCACAGAGATACGCAATTTTGACTGTACAATTTTGATTATACAGTTTTTATACTTCCGAGAGAAAAAACGCAATTGTGATTATACTTCTATACTTTCCAATAGAATGATGCAATTCTGATATTTCCCCATAAAAAGGTTAAATTTTGACCAAGAATTCTGATTATGATTCCTACTTCTTATTGCTCCTCGATTTTTTTTATTTTTATTTTGAGGTGCTGTTGTAAGAGGATCTATTTCTTCTGATATATAAAGGCAAAAAAGGAGCATGAGGACAAACTCACCATCATGTCGAGGGAAGATTTGCCGAGGCCGTTCTGGCAGCCGTTTGCCTGGGAAGAGAGCTGATCGTCTCCTCTTCAAACTGATATATAGCTGCTAGGTTTCCGCCGAGACTGAATTCGAAAGAGGGCCTGTTTCTGATTGTAATCCGGAAAGGACTGCTTTGATTCCGGATTAGCCACTGAAAAAGGGAGCTGCTTCGATTGCGGATTGCGGCCGGAGTGGAGCCGCTTGATTGCTTCGATTGCCGGTCGCAGCTCGGAATGGAGCTGCTGCTTCGATTGGGGGCGGCTGCGGCTCCCAAAGGGGGAGCTGCTTCTTTGGGCGCCTCCGCTCAAGCACCGGTGGATCCTCATTCGAGGCATCCGACGGCGACGGCGAGAGAGTGGAGATCGGCGCACGGCGGGCATAACTGACCCCCGATCCCCTTTCCTCTCTCGGTGAGACCGTAGTTTTTTTTTTTTTGAGTCTATCGGTGAGACCCCCTCTATATATATATTTTTTTTTTGGAAACATGCAATGCTTTATTGATCATGGAACGGCTTGGAGGAATAAGCAGAGTGTATAGAAGCCAAACATGACGCCCTTCACCCAAATGCAAAGCATGTCTAGTTAAACTATGCGCCTCCGTATTGGAGCGACGTCCTTCATGGACAAAAGAGATAGCGTGAAAATCACCACAACCGTCCTTTTATTTCTCTGATGATTGGGCCAGTGATACCATGAGTTCCTGAGTTGATGCCGTTGATGGCGGAGAGACAGTCCGAGGCCGCTATGATGTTTTGGAGTAGCAAGTTCCTTCCCAACGATAGCGCCTCACGACACGCCAAAGTTTCCAAAATGTGTCACCTGGTGCAGAATTTTGCCATCATAGGACTGATGGTGCCTCGAAACCTAGGTAAAGGATTATAAGATGGTTCTAATAAGTCAATGCTTGATTTGAAACTTCATCATCAGCAGGTCTTCAGGGTGACTATTCATAATTATCCAAATTTTGATGGCTACTCTTAACATGGTTTTCCACAAGAATCTGGCCACTTCAGTTCGGTGGGCTATGAGTATTGAATTCATAAAATTATTTTCCTTTTTGTGTTTATTGCTGATTTATTATGAGTTTCCATATGCTATATACTTGATGTGCCTAATAATTACTGAATTGCAGTTGTTGTACTGTCCAGGGTGGATTCTTTAGTAACAGAGATGTTGGTTGGTGCCGGATATGCATGGGAGTGCAGAAGACCTGGGTCTATATGTGTATTCAATGGACATTGTTCTGAAAATGAAGCATGATGTTGCAAAGAGACAGAAGATGTGAGTATATTTTTGTACTAATTTGAATTTGGACATCGTAGGTAAAACATTTCCTTGATTTGAAACTCTCGCCATTTCTCAGGAATCCTGGAGGCCCCAAGTCATTAACCAAAAATGCAACCATGAAGGGCAACTTCCATGGGAATAGGCGCTAGGCCTCCTGTTATCTAGTTCAACACTAGCGAGTAGTGCGCGGCGGCACGCCACGCCACATTGACTAATTAGCTATTTATTTTTTGTAATATTTGGTAAGTCGGTCCAAGACCTTTTTTGGCAAGGTAGTTTATTACAAGAAAATGGTATATCTATTTGGTACATAGGTAGGAGATAATGACAAAGTAGTTCATAAAAAGGAAACGGTTCATCTAGTCGGCACATACATAGAAGATCTACGATACGTAGTAATATAATAGATACTAGGCGTAAAATTGGGAAGGTCTCGTTCTCTTCTTAAAAGAGTGATGTTGATCCTCCGGCTGGGTTTGGGTGATGTGCGGCTGGGAGGCCTTAAAAAGGGATGTTGATCCTCCGGCTGGTTTTGGGTGATGTGCGACTGGGAGGCCGTGAGTGCGAGATTCGGGGACTCGTGGCAGGGAGGCCTTTTATGAGCGCATTGAGCGGGAAGCGGGGCACGGGATCCTCCCGGAGAGACAAATCTAGATAACACTATGCAAAATATCTGCAAACCATCACTGTCCAGAAGGCCCGGCTAAAGCGGCAACTGACCTGAAAATATAAACGTACAAACAGGGCCACGGTCAAAGCGCCCACATGTACCTATCCATCACACACGTCATCCAAACATGAGCCGTAAAGCCATTGGGACTCTATGCAACTTGTATGTGGTGATCGTTTGGCTGGTTATAACAGCATGCTATACTGGCAATTGGATATATGATATATTATGTGTCAATAGGAATATGATTGTATTTTAGAGATTGCCTTGGGCTTCGTGACATGCACTACTAAAAATAGATACACACACAACCTACAGAAAGCCGAGTTCCACACACAATGCACTTGATATAGGATGAGTTTGCACTCATACTGGGACCTCCAAATTTACTTTAAAAACTGATATTAAATAAAAATAATATACTTTTCTTCTCAGTACATGAATGCCAAAATAGATATTAATACTGCACCTACGATTGTAACTTCAGTTCCAAAGAGTTGATATCATTCCCACTTCCGGTTTGAAAAATTCACAGAGCAATGCAGTGTGTCTAAATTTGCATTGCATTCAGAGCAATAGCTACCTGCAAATGAAATTGATCTGAAGAAAGAACATCATGCCTTCACGACAGTCATTCAGAAAGTGTTTTTCTACAAAATATGTTTAGGGAGAGTGACATTCAAGACTGCTAGATGCTTACATGATCATCGATTCGAGGAGGCTGGTGTAGCTTCACTCAGTAAAAACAAAAAGATATTCCTAACAACTGCGGTTCTCATTCCGGTTACAATCAGCCTACAAAATCGGAACAACACTATGAAAAGAACCAGAGTGCCGACCAGAAGAGAAACATGGACGGTACATCACGGACATGTCAGATGCTTCTCTTAGTACTCCCTCCGTTTCTTTTTAGTCCACATATAAGGTTTGGTCAAAGTCAAGCATTATATAGTTTGACTAACTTTATATTAAAAAATATAAACATTCATAATATGAAATAAATATATTCAGATGCACCATGAAACATATTTTCATACTATATAGTTTTAGTACTGTAGATGTTCATAATTTTTTATGTAAATTTAGTCAAACTTTGTGTAGTTTGACTTTGACCAAATCTTATATACGGAGTAAAAAGAAACAGAGGGAGTACATATAAAGGAACGGAGGGAGTAGATTATAAGATCACATAGCACAAGGAGCAGAGATCCCCCCAAACTATCAAAACCGGAAACCAAAGACGGAACTACTGGACTGCACAGTCGGTTCAATACCTGTAAAAAGGATTAAAACAAAATAAGAACCCAAATAAAAAACAGTCACATTTAAATAGAAAATAGCCCGTATTCACCATGAAAGGAACCAGCTGGTCGCTTTCCACGCCGAACTTCTTGCCATCGCCAGCGTGCTTAAATTGGAGGCATATCCAATGAAGAAACTACAAGACCATCGAAGGAAACAACAAAGAATCACCGATGAGGAACCATACTAAAACAGACACCACTAATGAAGCATTTTTCTTCAGAAAATCAGGACAGCATACCAAAAGCAGCAGCAAAATACCCACGAAGAAGCGACGCCTCAGAGTCCCACGTCCGGAACAATCCCCGGCCACTTCAACGAACCGAAGAACGAACCTATGGTGGCCGACCAGAGCGTCGTTCAGCAGGCGAACAATATGAACCCCAAAAGGAATGAAAGCACAGGATACAAAGACAAGAAAGGCAGCATGTACCTGATTCTCTTCACAAAAGCCTGTCAAAGCGGCAACCACCTAAAACAGAAGCAAGCAGCAGCCGCTGAAGCCCTATACAAAATAACGGCAATGCTACACCTACATACACTAACGTACGTGTTTTACGTAATATGCGATGTGGACAATCAGGATTGGATTAGAGGGGATTGGGGGCCCACCCCCACTGAAAATCAGGGGGGGGGGAGAGAATTATTGTTAGGAAGGTTACATTACCTTACGTAGACCTTTTCGTAGATAGAGGATTATCGACAAAATAATATGGAGGGGTGTTTTGATTTTCGGCCGAAAAAAACAATTTTCGGCCGAATTTCGTCCATCTCGCCTGGGCCCGATAATTGTCTGTGTCGGCCGAAATTTTCGGCCCAGTTTGAACTTGGTTTTGGCCCAATCCAACTTCTGAGGCCTCCCCACAGTTTTCCTATCGAGCCACGCCTGAACCCTAAACAATTCACGATCCCCGCTCCCTCGTGTGTGCGGCGGCGGCGGCAGCGCTGCGCCCAGTCGCGGGCTCGCGGCTCCTCCGCTCGTCGCCGCCTACCTTCCCGCTCGAGCATGCCACCCTTGCCCCGTTCGCGTCGTCCCGGTGGCCCAGCCCCTGCTGCTGACCTCTGCAGGCTGCGGGCTGCAGGTTAATCCAGCGGCAACTCCTCCTCAACTCCGCGGCACATCTTCCCGTCCTTGTTTCAATTTTCGTGGAGCTCATGGTGATGTTGGAGTTGGACTGATACAAAGTTTGGTAAACATATACGTACTCCTTAGTGTTGTTCTACTGTTATACTTTTGCTCTGCTTGTTTTCAATTTTTTCGGCCGAATTTCGGCCAGATTTTGGTCAAATTTCATTTGAAATTCAAAATTTGATTTTGTAATTTCGTCCAAGATTTGACCGAAATTTTTGAAATGGCCGAATTTCGTCCATCTTGTCCAGGGGCGAAAAAAAATGCAAACCGAAAACCAAAACACTAAAGACCGCACCCAAGGCGTTCGTGTAGCGGAAGGGGAGATGCAGCCGGGGTCGGGGAATGATTTGGAAGATCAACTGCGCTCTGCTGATGACCCGCAGCAAACTGCCGATGCTGCTGGAGCTGCACCTCGATCAGAAGCTGAGGCTGAGCCGGCCCCATGGCGGACGCCGGCGGTGGCCGGAAGGCCTCCCCCTCTCCGTCGTGGTTCAACAGGCGCAACTCAGCATCGACCTCCCCCTCAAGGGGCCCTACATCTCCACCGCGTTTGCGCCGATGGCGAACATCCTGACCGACGTTGCCGG